TTAAGGGATCCTGGGGTGCTGAAGTCTCCTTCTCGAGGTGATTTCTAGGTTCTTGCTGTCCTGAACAAAGAATTGGTCAAGACAAGCCCAAAAGGTAGTGAGGTTTTTACTTTTACTTTTATTATTATTATTTTTTGGTACTGGGGATCGAACTCAGGACCTTGCAGTTGCCAGGCAGGCGCGGTGCCACTGAGCCACACCCTGGCCCTTTTACCTTTATTAAAGGTAGGGAAAAAAACATGCTCTGCTGAGTGAGTTGTGCCAATCAAAAGTGGGAAAAGAACCATTTTACAGGGTGAGAAGGGAGCGGAGTAGAAGAGAAAACACAGTGGTCTCCGGCTCAAGGACCATCTGTAACTCCCACCCTGCAGGCTGACGTCAGGTCTAGGCCAGCCTATCAGAAACCTCCTTGGGTTCTCCCGAGAACTGAATCTAAGACTCTGATTGGTTCCCAGAAGTCTGTGATTGACGGGCCACAACCACTCCTCCAGCCAGTTTGCCTCCGCCTTATCTCTTGCCCCATAAAGACCCCCGCGAATGTGAGGGCCGACCTTTAATGTCAGGACCAGGATTTCTGGTAACAGGGACCACAGGTGATTTCTAGCATCCAAGCCCTGACAGTTTTTCCAGGCTTCTGACTCTGGTGTCTGCTTCCTGGATATTCTCTGTCCCTTCTCTTCCCCGCCAGATGACTATAATAACCACGCATTACTTTTGTAAATCATGCACAGCCACTGTGAATGCAACTTCAAAGACTCCACGTATAAATGTAGAGCAGCATAAATGTGTGGTGTGTACAAAAGATATTCAGAAGACTGGGCACGGTCTTGGGTTAGGATAAATTCTTTTGTCTTTCTATGTTTTTTGAAATGCAATTAAATAAAAACATTTTTACCATAATAAAATTGTAATTTGGTAGGATGGCTGTGGATAGAACCTAGGAACTCATGCATACTGGGCAAATGTTCTACCAGTGAGTTAGGCCCTCAGCCCCATTTTTTTCTTTTTGAGACAGGATCTCACTACCTAGTCCAGGCTGGTTTTGCACTCACTATGTAGCCCAGGCTGGCCTCAAACTCAAGAATCATTCTGCCTCGGCCTCTGGAGTGCTGGAATTATAGCAGTATTGCACATTCTGTGTTTGGATGTAAACGAGCTCAGGGACTCACTCCGCCCTGCCCCAGGAGAGTCTGCCATCCCATCTTCCTGGCATATTATTCAGCATGCCCCCTGCCCTCCAAAGTTCACAGCTGGCCAGGGAGAAAGTCCCCAGACACTGGCTGCTCCTGCTTCAAGTTGTTGCAAGGGCTGAGCTGACCACCTCTTTCCCTCTCAGAGCCTTCCTGGCCCTCCTTGCTCTGCTCAAGCCCCCAGACAGCCCACCCTATAGCCGCGCAGGAAATGAACTTGTCATGCACTGAGGAGCATCACACTCGGAGTCACACATGGGCCTGGAGCCTGGAGCCGAGCACCTCCCCTCCCCAGGGTGTCCTCCAAGGCTCCCCCTAGGATGGCTGAATTCGTGCCCCCCATTCATATGCTGTCTGATCTCAGAGGTATTAGGAGTTGGGACCTTCCAGAGGTGATTAGGTCATAGGGTAAACATGATTAGTATCTTTGTGAGAGACTACAGAGGGCTGGGCTGGTGGTGGTGGTAATCCCAGCACTCTGGGAGGCTGAGGCAGAAGGATCTCAAGTTGAGCCCAGTCTGGGAAACTTAGTGCCTATTGAGACCCAGTTTCAATGAAAGAAAGAAAGAGAGAAAGAAAGAAAGAAAGGTGGATGGATGGATGGATGTAGCTCAGTACTATGGCCCAGGTTCCACCCTCACTACCACCACCAAATTAAAAATCCATTGTTGTAGCCCTCCCGTGTTTACTGCATTGCTGTAGCTGCCCAGATAGATGCAGACACCCAGACTTTCTTTCTCTGGGGACTTACCCCCGTGGTCACCCTGGCCCCCGCATTGCCATCTCGGTCTCTGTCTCTGTCCCTGGCAGAGATAGAGCCTGGCCTGGCTGGCGCCTCCCTCCTGACCTTGCATCTTCTTCCTGTCTCTGCCTCATCTCAGCCCTGAGTCTTCAGGTCCCCAGGCACCGCCTTGTCATCTGACCTCTGCCCCAAGTGCAGAACAGACTCAGCCGGCCTGGCCAGGCTTCTCCTCTCCCTCTGCCCGCCCCCTCCCTTCACCTCAGCCTCTGGGCCCAGACCTCTTCCTTCCCACACTCCCTCCTGGTGATCTCATCCCATCCCAGATTTGGTCCCAGCCCTGACCTCTCTGTTTCGCTTCCGGCTGGAGTTGTCCAAGTCCCACAGGACACCTCCTGTGTAATTTTCCCAGACCTGTTCTTGCTGGGCATTTCCCCCATGGGAAGTGGCGACTCCATCTGTCAACTCCTCAGACCCTGGAGTCACCCTCACCGGTGCGTCCTCTCTCTCACTGGTGGTGCCCCACCCATCAGTGAATCATGTTGGATTAACTTCAAACTTCAATCTTGGGCTGGGCAAGATAGTGCTCACCTGTGATCCCAGCACTCTGGGAGGCTGAGGCAGGAGGATCCAGCCTGGGCAACCTAGTGACTTGGCGAGATCCTGTCTCAATGTATAAAATTAAAAAGAGGGCCAGGGAAGTAGAACAGAGTGAGGGTTCTGGGTTCAATACACAGTATCAAAAAGAAGAAACAAACAAACTATGACAAAGAAAAATTTTAAATTATAGGCAAAGACAGGCTTCTTTCATTTTGTTTTTTGAGACAGGGTCTTGGTATGCAGTCCGGGTTGGCCTTGAACTCTTGTCCTCAAACGTCCCTCCTTGGCCTCCTGAGTGCCGGGACTAAGATACACACCAGCCCGGTCAGCTGCTTGTTTGTGGGGTTGTGCTTGTTTTTGCAGTGCTGGGGAGGGAACTCCGGGTCACTTGCGAGCTCTGCACCACAGACCTACACTCCCAGCACTTTTGAAATTTAACTTTAAAATTTTGAGACAGGGTCTGCTAAATTGCCCAGGGAGAGTCTGGAGAGTCTGTACCGACTTCTGCGTCGTTCAAGTTTCTTAGTACATGCGCGGCCAGAGCTACCCGGGTACCTGCTGTCTGGGTGAACGTGCGTGCGTGGCTATCAAGCAGGCCGCTTCCCCGGCGGGGTTCCCGCCCAGACCAGCAGGGGTCGCTGCAGAGCCGCGACTTCCGGGG